CAGAAAGGTAATTTACAATACAATGCACTAACTATTATTGCTTGCCTTAATCACACGTATCTCCCTGATTTCTGCCAGGATGCGCTCTGACATCAAAAAAGGGCACTTGAGCAGAGGGCAGCCAGTTAGTGAAATATGATGGCTCGCATTTGTTTTCATGTGGTGGTTGGCTCAAATGAGGCAGCTCCAGACTGTTAGCCAACAGTCTTCCCTTGTGCGACATCAAAGGCTCCCATTGATGGCAGAGAGGGAGGGTGCAGGCAGGGGGATCACGGAGAGACAGCGCCGAGGGAGGAGCGCTGGGCAGCTCAAAGGACAATTAAATACTAATCTCTACTTTATGTCCCAAAGAGGGGAGTGGGGAAGCAGAGCAGGCTGGGGCCAACCTGACTCCCCAGTTCCAGGGGGAGGAGTGTCAGCACCTCCGTGTGTGGTGCGGGACAGGCATGGCCCGTGGACGGGGCTGGTTGGTCACTGCAGACGTGGGGAGTACACCGAGCTCAGGGCAGCTTTGATTTCAACAGAAAGATTTCATAAATAGCAACAGATTGCCTAAAACCATCGGGAAGAGCAGCAGCATCAAAAAACACTCCTTGTTTGATCTGTGGGCTCATCAGTGTTGATCGGCATGGCTGCAAATGCTGATGACCTGCAGATCTTCGAGGACTGTCCCTCAAAGAAGTGCAACTATGGCCACTTTGGACAAGGATGGGAAAGCATTATCATGTACCCTGAGAATGGTTCCTGAGAATGGCAAGAAGCCTAATTTCCTTCACCAAGTAATTTAAAGGATTGAGTAATGTCATATTACACAGAGCAAGCCAAGTGCTGAAAACCACTGACAGGATACAGTGGCTCTAGCAAGGTCCTGCAAGAGAGTTTGCAGCAAGGGTTAACCATTTCAAGAACCACTTTAATTCCACTGCCATCTGTTTATACAACTTCTTTCATCTTTCAGGAGCTCAAAGCACTAAATGGCATTGTAAGTTTGTTGACGAGAGCCACTGAATACATCAATGCTGAACATTATGCTGTGCAAGAATGGGGAAAAGAAGATTTTAGAAGTACCCCAAATATACCACTTTGAATGACCATTGCCATGAGCTTTAAACAGGACACAGGGCAGACCAGGCTTTGGGGTTTGAGGTATTATTCAAAACACAAAAGAAACATATTGACCCTGAGAGCCTTTAGAAGTGTAATGTGACACCTTTAAATCAACAACAGTGAACATTCAAACAATAATATAAAAAAAAAGAAGGATGCAGACACAAAACCGCACTGAAAATAGATTTCAATTTTGGAAATTGGGTCTGCTGTAAACAAACACAAACACAAACTGGTCTGCAAGGATTTCTAGGAAAAAGAGAACAAGGTAGACAAAATGTGAAGCATTCAGTCTTTAAATAGAAATAACCAGTAAGTCATAGATGGTCACATCCTTGTGTGCTTAAGCCTATTCTCTCAATGCAAAGTGTGATTCACCTGCAATCCCACATGTAATATAACAGCATCAAAACTGCTTCTGAAAAACAAAATTATGTGTAAGGTACTTGAACTGCTTGTCAGGCAGCCCTACTCCAACTAATGCTGAGCATCTTCTCATCCCATTGACTTCTCCCAGCACGGGAGCTGGCAATCTACCAGAAGTATGCTGACACAGAAGATCAGGAAGCACCTAAGAAAAGAGCAGGAAAGTGCAGAAAATGGCTTTGAACCTGTGAACCCAGTTCAGTGTAAATCCCATGTTGACATTACTGATCATAGAAGTCACTAGTGCTTCTTTGCACCAACTGAAAGCTAGATCTAAAGATTGTGTGTTAGCTTGGTTTTTTTGTTTCCACCTACTATATATGCTTCTATGGAAGGTTAAATATAGCCTGTTCCTTTCAGTCTCATCTGAAAAAGCAGACCCAGTTTAAAATTTAGATTTCTAAACACAGAAATAAGCATTTTACCTGGCACATTCTTCTCCTTTGGAGCTTATACCGTCGTTTTGCTAAATCTATATAGAGGTCTTATCATTGCATGCTTAGATAATCCTGTGTGGAACAGCCTGCACAAACGAAGAATTCAGAGAAGTGGGAACAGTGTTGTTGCCCTGTATACCCCATGCCAGAGTCAGAACAGCAGCTCTGTATCTGCAGTCTGGTATGACTAACAGCAGCTCACCATTTTACACAGAAAACATTAGCTCTTCCAGCTCCTTGGATGGATGAAACAACTCAATGAGAGTTAGTTCCCCACAATTACAGAGCTCTATCTGATATTGCAGGTGCATGGTACAAATGGAATTCAATTTGACTTCTGTACATGAAGCATCTGATGGTTTGGGAGCCTAAATTGTAACCTTTTCTCCGCAATAATCCTATCCAAAGCACTGCAGCATAGGAGGTAAAAACACTGGGTATAAACCTGCAATATGAATCCTGTTATTCCTTCCCTTCTTTTTATTTTTTTTAAAAGTTAACAGAACAGTTTGTGTAAATAAACGTTGCAAGGCTGGACACTCGGTGTGTTTTCTTTTCTAAGCATCCTGAGTGTCTGGCACAGACTGTGTTATCCAGGATCTATCTGAGATCATCTACACCACTCCCCTGGAATAGCACCTGCGCCCTTGTGGCCTTGAATGGCTCTCACAATACAAATTTACAAATGGCTTTTGAAAATTATTCAGACATCCTTTGGCATGAGCAAAATCTGCTGCGACACAATTGCCTTGCCTTTATTTTATTATGATTATTACCACTCCCAGGCTTTGGGGAGCTTTGTGTGTGTCAGCACATTTCTTTAGCATTTCTGATAGCCTTCAATCTTCCTGCCTTTTATACCCTTGAACCAGTTGCAAAGGAGCAAGAAAAACGATATAAACAATGGGTTCACTCAGGACACAAGGAAATCCATGCATCTAACTTAAGTTTAATGCTCCCCAACTCTATTTCTCCTTCTCTTGCCCCTGCCCCACAGGGGAGGTGGGAGGAATGGTTTAAATCAATAACCAAAGGCTTCAGTTTTACAAACCCTTGAGCCATTAGAGCTCAGAGTCCTTAGTGCACCAGCCCCAGCCTCCCCCACCCCTGCACACACACGCACACACACACAAACACACACGCACGCGTAACACATAGAGAAAATAAATACTCGCAGCCTGGCATTAACAATGTTCATTCAGTGCTCTTTACTTAAAGGAAGAAACAATTAAGTGAAACCTTGAAGTAATCTCATTCTGCCTATTTAGCCTCTTCATCCCTCAATGTGTGGTTAGTAAGTGTTGCAATCAGGGGCTAAGGCCTGCTATCATTAGGCCTTAATTAAAAGAGACACAAGCAGTGGAGCTGTGAATTAGAAATGTAACAACGCACTACCCCTGATTAATTCGAGGCTCATGTTGGATTAATAACTCCAAACAAAGAACAAAAGGAAATTGTTATGCGAATTGCAGTCCTCCCAGGCCAGACAAAGGTCAAATCACAGGATTTCAATTTCATCCGGAGTCGCTTAATCAACTCCCTCGGAAGGAAGACCATATGCAGCCCTGAAAGCTACCCATTGTAGTCGTGTTGTCACTGGACCTGAGAGACAGCACAGAGATAATCCCAGATATTCTCCATCTTTTCTCCTTCTTGCCTGTTCCTTTTCTTTTTCTTTTTTCTTTCCTTCCCCCCCCCTCCCCCCCCCCCCATTATGACAAAAGCACTTCATTAGGGCTAATGATTAAGGAATAATCTGAAGCCAGGACAGGATAGTATCTGTGGGAAAGTGGCTTTTGTGGCTGCTGCCCCATGGCAGTATCCTGGCTCTCACTCCCCATGCAGCTGCAGATGTACCTCCTCATTTTGGGGGGGTCTTCTGTGGCAGCAGCAGAAACCACAAGCCACTGTGCTTCATTCCACACCACACAGTCACTTACCCCCCGACTTGGGGGGGTAAAACAGGATGCTTGGGATACATTCAGTGTGCTGCCTACATCTTAATGCAGAGGTCTTTGGGGGATGTTAGCTGCGGAAGAAGGATATCACTAGTCTGAAACCCCATCTCCGACCAAAAGTAAGCCACAAAGAATAAAATCCTGTATTTTCTTGATGCTGACACTCCCAAAGAAAAGATGATGGAGGAGAACTACCCTCAGTTTGCATGATCTTGGATCATGTCCAAGGACACTGTCCTTCCAGTGAGCAGGAACAGGGCATGTCCCCCTGCTCCTATGGAACATTACTTCACAAGTAACTGACATGGCAGAGCATTATACAGGGACCGCAGTTATTCTATATAAAGAAAAAAGGAAAGTTTTGGTCTACTTAGGAATCTGTCACCTCATGCCAAGAGCAAGCCTATAGAAATGAAAAAAGAGCAAGAAAGAAGCTTCAGGGGGTTCCTTCCCACCCTCAGTTCCTTCTGGAAGAGTTCTGCCCATTAGCTCAGTAACACCAACTTACCAAACAGCTGCCAGCAGCTGGCCCAGCCTGGATGGGCAGGTACTCTCGCAGCTAGAGCCCCTATTGTTTGTACACATTTCAAAAGGCAAGCTGGAATCTCTCAGGTTTTAATTCACTGGGGGGTTTGTTGCATATTCTGTAACGAGAACACAGTTTGGGACCAAATTTACTGCCCCCAGGAACGGGCTCCTGCAAGAGGCCAAGAGCAAACAGCGCTCCCTGCCTTGACATAGAACTCTTGCTTAACTCAAACAAATCTCTCCTGATTTACATGGAAATGAGATACAAAGACTCAAGCAACAGTTCTCTTCTAATCTTAAATTCTGGTTCAAATCATAATCTGTGTATGAATTCCTTGGTGTAGGATTGCTGACAAATGGACCAGGACTCTCTGACCTGACTTTACCAAGAGATACCTTAAAGCCCAACAAAACCACACAAAACCTGGCACTAGTACCTGGCACTGCATCATTAGTTTCCAAACCTGCAGGCACTGAAGAACAGGAGTTATGACTGGGATATTAAAACACCTTGGGAAATACAGATTATGTGGAGATCTCTTACCTGTGCTAGGTGCTGGAATGAAATTGCAGGTCACTCGGTGAACTCAAAAGAAGATCCTGTAATGGCTTTCAGCTTGGGATCATCGTCATTCAATTCTGTCACAAGCTAAACTTGGTCCTCTTGCCAAGGGGTTGCTCACAGAATTACTGCCTCTGAATTAGCTGTTGGAAGGGAAGAAGTGGTTTGTGAATTGCCCAGTTCTGAAGCTCTTTCCTTCTCAGAAATATTCCAGTTTTAAATATTAATCCAATGCATGACTATTCAGCTTCTCCAATGCTTTCCTTTTAAGTATCTGTACTCTCTTGCTTTACATATTGATTTCTTAGCATGCAACCAAAAATTAAGATAAAATACCTACTGTGCCATGGAAAAGGAGAGTCATATACTCAGAAACTCTTGCCTGTGTTATACCACGTTATTAAATCCAAATTACATGGAATGCAAATTCCGTTAGAAATTAATCTTTCAAGCATTCCACCAGCTCCAAAATGTGTTCAAAAAATAATTTTTGAAATCTGTTACTATTAGAAACTCAGTAACAAATTAACTTACATGCACTACCAGCTATTTTAGCTACTTCCACTCTTCAGCACGAATGTAAAATGAAGGTTTAAAGTATGCAGCTCCAAAAGTTTAGCCCATATATTCATCTGTCAAAGAAGGAAACCTATGCATATATTCCAGTAAGAACAGTAGGATGACAAGATTTCCCATCCCATTCATGTTGAAAGCCAGTCTAGCTTGCAGCCTTCAGTCTAATGGGAGAAAAACTGGTCACACATTTCTCATGTTTTCTAATTCCTAAAGAGCAAATCAGCTTCTTCTCCAAAAGTTAAAGAATCACAGGTTGGAAAAAATCTCTGGGATCATCAAGGTCCAACTTTTGATCACCACTTTGGCAACTCGACCACGGCATTAAGTACCACATGCAGTCAATTTCTTGAACACCTCCAGGGATGTTGACTTTACCTCCTCCTTGGGCACTTGGGCAGTCCATTCCAATGTTTAACAACCCTTTCTGTCAAGAAATTCCTCCTGATGTCCAACCTGGACCTCCCTTGGTGTAGCTTAAAGCCATGTCCTCTTGTCCTGTCACTTGCCTGGGAGAAGAGGCTGGCCCCCACCTGGATGTACCTTCCTGTCAAGGAGCTTAAAGAGTGATAAAGTCCCTCTGAGCCTCCTTTTCTCCAGGATAAACAACCCCAGCTCCCTCAACAGCTCCTCACAGGACTTACTCTCTAGATAGCACACACTCAGGAATTGTTTAGGCTCTCACTCCACAGTGCTAGTCCCCAGGTCCATGAGATGACATTACTCCTCTCAACACAGACATGCACCTCTCACTTACTGCCCAATTGTGTGCAAATAAGCAAAAGACAAAAGCTGATGTGCTCAAAAATATCTCACCACAGTGATGAAATATATCCACTACTATTGTAATGCTACCAAAAAAAAAAAAAAAAAAGGCACTTAGGACAGTTCTTTTCTGCTTTCTACAGAAGAAGACAGTCAGGGGCATCTGCTCTCTCCCAGCCCAAATGCCAGCACAGCCCAGGTATGCAAAGGTTCCTACAGCCTACATCAGATTGATAACCTACAAATCTGCTGAGGATGAGGAGGAAAAGAATTTATTTAAGTGGCTGCAGACCCAACCAGCCCCACTACTAAGTTTGGCACATGCATTCTGAGTCTTGAAATCAGACTTTGCCCATCTTCATAGTTCCTGGAAACACTGTGGCCAAATACAACTTCCAAGGAGCTCCACTGGACGGGACAGGCATAGCCGAAAAGATTCCCCATGCCACTCTGAGCAGATCTGCCTCCCTCTCTGACACAGCTACATGGAGTCAGGTGGGACGACAAGGCACACCCTGAATAAACTACACCTGGGGATCAGCAGGCTGCCCTAAATTCCCATGCAATCTCCCAATACTGAACGTGCTTTGGAGCCCATCCCACTCTCCTTGCTCCTCTCAGCTATCTCTAAAGCCTTATGGATTTTTATAAATCCCAAAGCATCAACAACAGGCAAGCACTGAGAGATGCCCTCAGCTCGACTTGCTCTTTTCTTTGTGGCAATAATCTCTGAGCTGTGGAGCTGTGTACCTGTATTTTTAAGTAAATAAACCAACAAATTTCCCTGATTTTACTTGACATTTTTTCTTATCCTTTCCCTTTATGTAGAAGCTGCCTCTTTCTCTTCCTTTCCACTCAAACAAGCCACCAGTGAGAAACATTCCTCCTCTGTAGCCCTTACCAAGTGTGAAAGAGCTTTCACATATCTTTACCTCACTGACCCTTCATTTCTTTTCAAATCACAGATAAGAAACATCATTTTCTTATCTTGCTAAGAACTGGGAACACTCTCCATTTCTATTACAGTACTTGCCACCCCTATTAAACACTCTAAGAGCCTGGATGAAAAAAACTTATACATAAATATGGTAGTTCTCTGATAGATTCCAAACAACCAGTTTTTCAGTGGATAGTACTCCAAACTGTACTGCAAGCAAGCAGCTATGTCAAAAGATTAAATATAATGGGATGTGCAGAGAAAACCAGTTATGTCAAGCCCATTTGTCTCTCTCAAAGAAAACCAAGCCAACCAACCAAAGATCATGTGGGTTCTTCTGCTCACCTTACCAAAATGCCACTTCCACTAGAAAGATAAAATCACGGCACAGCAAATTAGGTTTTACACCTGGATAATTTTTCCAAAGAAGTCCAGCACCTTTGTTTAAGCTCAACTTAAAGGACTGCACACCGTTTCTAAGTGTTGCTAGGTAGCTGCTGCTCCCTTTTAGAGGTGGCTGCCCCTCAGTACTTGGCATTAAGCAGGGCAAGACATAATTTCCTTGAAAGATACAGCTTTCACTCCAAGACACACAAATATTTCATTACACACTTTTTTTTTTCCTTTTCATTTTTGGCCAACTTTAATGGTAATTATGGGGATTGCCAATTATTGTTATAAATCTAGAAACACTGCAGTAACTTTGTTGTAGAAGAATTTATAATATACTTTAACAAAGTTATCAGGAATCTTATCTAATTCTTCATTACTATGATGAGATATAACATAAAGGAGTAAGACTAAGAGTCTATTCATGTTGTATAAGCCTGGAAAGAGGTTCCAGAAGCTTAAAAGAGCTGGATCCCATAAATAATTTCACTTTTGCCCCCCCCCCCCCTTTTTTTTTTTTTCTTGTGAAATCTGTCTCCTTTGCTTTGATGCCTTTGGTTGAAAGGCATTGTGTAAATGACTCACATTTGCACAGCTCTGAAACATGAACACCAACAAAAGCCAAAACATACAATTTGGTGTAGTTGCCTGCTGACTAAACACTTTTCCTTGTATCTCCCTTTGCTTGGAGGGTAAATTGTTAGTTTCAAAGCTGAACGACTGCTTCGTTGAGTTGGGTAGTAGACTATTGGTACAGTGTGATAATTAAGGGATCTTAGTTCTTAAACAATGCTGATAAAACAGAAATCCCTCTCCCTTTTTTCTGGATTACCTTTAGAACTGAAATCAGAACATGTAAAATGAATAATAATTTGCACCTTGTGTGAATGATAAAAGATTGAATCAAATTTTAACTAGAGTCTATTTGTAAATCCCTCAGGATGACATAATTACTATTCAACACATACCTTAATTAGCTGTACACATCTATTTCATAGTATTTAACAGGTTTAAACAGCTTCTATTGTATGTAGAATGAATGTTCCATTCTTATCAAAAAGGAAACTATTCTGAATTTCCTAAACTGGAGGAAATTTTCTTAGAGAAGTTAAGAAATTATCTAGAAATTACTGTTCCTATAGTCAAATAGTTTTTAGTAGTGTTTGTTTGGGTTTTTTATTCATTTTTAAAGTTGTTTCAAATTCACCAGCAGTGCAAAGAATTGACAATGCACTGATGTAAATTATTGTTGCTGCTGCTTTTTTCCTCTTGATGAAAAAAGGTCATAGTTGCATTGTCTGGTGAAAAGAAAAATCTGTTCTAACTTTTGCATAGAATTTGAAATTAATAACAGGCTAGGCATGATTTCTTCTCCTGGTTTGGATTATAGCATGGCCCCACCTCTAGAAAGCACTGCTGCTTTCATTGCTCCATCATGAATCAGAAAGAGGCTGAAATTTGGCAAGCCGTGCCTTCAGGTGCAACTGAAGACTTAGCATTTGAGCATTTGGTGCTCGTACTGGGTAACAGCAGGTCCCTGCTCAGCTGCCGAGGCTGTTCCTAAAACCAGTGGGATCTGCAGAACAATGAGCTTTGGTCACACACGCAGCTGCCATGAGCTGAGGCTTGGTGCAGACCATGAGCACAACCTGCCCTAAAATTAGAGAAGCCCAGAATCTTACAGGTTGGAAAAGACCCCAAAAGTCATTGAGTCCAACCATTACCCTAACACTGCCAGGCCTACCACTGAACCATGTCCCAAAGTGCCCCATCCACCCTTCTTTTAAGTATCTCCAGAGATGCTCAAGCAAATGAGAATGACAGTGGTGGTGCACAGACACATTTGCACGTGGTATGTTTTCATATTTTGTCAAACTGCCCCAAGTGAGATTAAAATGTTTGCTTAAATACTTATTTTATGCTCTGTGACACTTGCCTTCTGTTCTCCTAAAAGTATAATGCTAAAGGCAGCTGACTGTTCAGACAACTCACTGCTCCCAGAGCCAAGTCCAAATGAAGATAATCAACACCCAGGGAAACGATGGAGGCTGAGCTCGGGAGAGGAAAAGCCGGACTAGAAGTGCTTTGCTCTCCCTTTTTTAAAAAAAAGACACCTTTTTTTACTGGTTTTACTGCAATCACAGAGAAGCCAAGACCTCCATAGCCACAGTAAGGAAGCACTACCAGGACCCAAGAGCCATGGGAAAGGAAAGACCAAGCACGCTGCTCTGGGAGAGAAGAAACTAAACAACTTGAAGAGAAAGGCTAAAAGATATTTTAGGTGCTACCCCTCCCAGCTACCCAAAAGTCATCAGACCAGACTTAAAGTCCTAAGATTTACCATAAACAAAAACACTTGGAAACATAACGACTAACAAGCCCCATAAACCAATGCCTTCCAATGCATATGAGATCCTTTTATCTTTCTCTTACTTCTCTAGGTTGCCCCCATGTCATATTTTCAAGTTTTTCACTGCA